AAAGGAAGATCTACTAGATATTAATTAAATTATAAATATATCAATTCATGTGAATATGACCGAAAATTTTCATTTTTCTGAAAAGTTGGTGTCTATTTACTTGTGACCACGCTGTGTACATACATTTCGGTCTTTGAAACTTCTACCACAAACGTTAGAGAGTTCACCAACAAATATCGTAAAAATACGAGTTTGGATAATGCAGTATCAGTAAAAATAAAATCACTATCAGCTTTACGTATTACCGTTCACACAATTTATTATTGTACATTAAACTATTTAAGAGTTAGGACACAGCAAATGGCCAAATAAAAAAACTTGATTTTTTAAAGCTAAGCCACAGTCCAATCACTGCAAGAAAAGTAAGACTTCATTTCGTACGTTGAAAATGTTGCCCAAATGTTGCTCTAAGATGTGAATTCTTATGATATCATCATATCCTGTACTGGCGGAAGTACACCAGAAAAGTTATTAAATCTTTATTTGATCGTTTTTATGTATACATTTATTGCACAAGCTTCTTAAATTTAGGTGTATAATTTAAATAATGTAATTATTCATCCCCCGAGTATTATACAACGCATCCTAAGCAAAATTCTAAACAACTAAATATATACAATATCTCTTTAGAGATGGTGCAAGATGTTCTAAAACATCAAGAGAGCTCTCCCTCCCTCCCGATGGCTCAGCGGCAAAACTGAGGGCTAGTAGCATTAAAATACGGAGTTCGATCCCTGTGATGGGCACAGTGCGGACAGCGCATTGTTAGCTTTGCGCTTAAGTAAGCAAATGAACAAATCAAGAGGAAGTTTTAAAACATTTTTTCCGGGTTTTATTATTTCTCAGGCGCCTATGCAAGTACGTTGAAAGGTGTCGTAAGTGTACTGTAGTGTATTATGTTTTCTGGATGCAAAGAAAGCCAGGGTACTGTGCATGCTTCAAAAGTAACAGCCTTGCTTCTAAGACTTTACTCCACAACTCATTTTCCTTAGCCTTTTAGCTTTCAGGATGAAAATTCCAATACACTATGGCAGCTTAGCTGTTGTTGCCCCCCCCCCTCCCAGTGGCACAGCGGTATGTCTGCGGATTTACAACGTTAGAATCCGGGTATCGATACCAGTGGTGGGCAGAGCACATATAACCCATTGTGTAGCTTTGTGCTTAATTACAAACAGCTTTTGAATATAGTCGTTTAACAACAAGTAAAAGCTTGGAATGGTCTATTCTTTCATTGGGGGTGTGTGTCTGTGGGCCAGACTAGTTTAGGAGAATTTCATTCCTCATCAGTGACTCTGGACACTACCATCAATGAAACTGCAGACCAGATACCTATAGAATGATAGGCTTCTTTTTTGTGAGTGTAAAACAGTTAAATATATCAAACAAACAGCTGTTGTTCATGAAACCATAGAGAGTGATTAGGAAATTTAATTCTCACGCTTCTCTTACATATTTAAGCTCTCTTCTATCATTTGTATAAAGTTTAGTGAGCTTCATTATATGACTTTATACAAAATACTTCAATTGTAATATTTCAGTAGTCGAAATAATTCTTCAAAACTTTCATCCAGTCTCCCTGTTTACCATAAATAGATTATCTTCTAACGCATACTGTAATTCGTTTGTTTGTTTTGAATTTCGTGCAAAGCTACACGAAGGCTATCTGTGCTAGCCGTCTCTAATTTAGCAGTGTAAAACCAGAGGGAAGGCAGCTAGTCATCACCACCCCCCGCCAACTCTTTTACCAACGAACAGTGAGATTGGCTGTCACATTATAACGTCCCACGACTGAAAGGGTGAGCATGTTTGGTGGGACGGGGATTCAAATCCGCGATTCTCACATTGCGAGTCGAACGCCTTAACCACCAAGCCATGCCGGGCCTACTGTAATTCATTCTAATACATATAAACGGTGGATGATATCTTATCCTGTTTTTCACACGATATTGAACTAGTTCCTCTCTTAAAAGTTTCAACAGCATTATTGTTTAAAAATAAAACTTTGTCTAACGGATTTTAAGAAGCAAGCTATTGTAAATAAAAGAAAAACACGTGTAACTACTTTTGCACTGACACCATACAGAAAACGTGGAGTAAAATCATTACTATCAAAATAAATTATCCATATGTTCACCACAGTCCATGGTATATTTTAAATAAAGTCTGCGCGCTATAATAAAAAAGCAAGATAAACTTCGTCTATACCATAAAAAATTATAACACATCTTCCGCTTTGTTTGTTTGCATTTTTTTTAAATATATTCTTATTATCTAATAAAATCCATTATATGGAAGCAAATAATTAGAAGGGCTGAACTACGAAAGAAAACATGTGGTGCTCTGTTTTTGTGTGACAGACATGGCACTTGTGACTCACATTAGGGAAGAAGCATAGGTAGTATAGTGATGAACTACTAATTATAATTACCTTAATTGGATTGCGGTACATATAATTAAAGTGCCTACAGCAGTATATTTATCCACGCAAAAATATTGGAGCTTTTAACATATTTCCAGTCCTTCAGTTATTATACTGGGGGAGGGGGCTTTCCTTCTCCCTTCTTACGACTCCACTGAATAAACTAACAAACTTTCTTATCTGTTCAATAAACATACACGACCCATACCTATACATTCAGGGCAGATTAATGAACACTCTAACCAAGCTATAGTTTGCCCCATCTAAAAAAGTAGCCCCCCCCCAAAGAGTCTTTAAAAGCGTTTATAGAAGTCAATGACTGTGATTTTTCTTCATAGTTAATAATTTTCGTTTTTACATCCTCTCATGAATAGACCAGTTTCAAGTTACTGTCTATAAATACACACATTAGACGCGCAGCTAGCAAGCTTATGAAGTCTAGCTGAATTTCTTGGAAAGTTTATTTCCAAAAATAATTTCTTAACAAATGACGTCTAGCTATAATTTTTTGTTAAAATACAAAGTTATTCTTAATATATATATATATACATATACATATATTGTATATGAATACATGTTTTATGTTATTGATGTACTGTTTATATTTGTCTAATTTGGAATGTTCAACATGCGAATATTGTTTGTATGTCTATAATTCTATTAGTAGTAGTAGTATTAATACTTATTGACCTATATATCGAGCCCTTGCTTTCTCTTAGCTTGGAGCCCCTCGAGAGTTTAATCTAATCCTGTATATTATATATATAATTAATTTATGTGTACAAATGTTTA